ACGTGGCTTCATGCAGCGAGTTCCACATTCTCACTATCCTCTGCTTCAAGCAGTTCCTCGTACAATCCCGCACAGATTCCCCCAGTCGCCATCTCATACTTGTGCTCACTGTTATGGACTCTGGAACATGTGGGAATAGCTCCTTTATGCGTTAGAAACCTGATCTGTGAATCCTCTCGTTGTAGGTTCGTCACATACCTTCACAGTATTCAGAAAAACCTGAACCGGCAATAAGGCAAAAAGCTCGATCATCTTTGTTTAAGAAATTAAACAGGTCCTGCATTATAGCTGTATTATCCTCGAGATCTGCCTCTAAGCAACATTAATTTTACTGCCAGTGAACTTATTCAGCAGAGAGAGGAACGTTTATGTTTTTTTATATACTGTTTTTAAGACTGCAGCTTTATCTTGGCTGACTGTTTTATTAGCACACAGATTGCCAATCGGGATGAGTGAAGGTAGCAGGTAGCTTCCCCCTCGTCAGAAGGAGAACGTTTCAGCTGGTCGCAAGGACAAATATCTTTGCAGCTACGTTTCTGAATGGGGAAAAGGGTGACAGGCGAGGCTTCGCGAACTCGCACGATACTCAGATGCTCGGGAGACAAGCCATCCGAAAGATCAAAGGAAATGCATCGGTGAGGAAGGAAAATAGGGAGATTGTGACAAATGGCTTGTTCCAAACACAAAGTCATTCACAGCTATAAAAGCCTGCTCCACTGCAGATCGAAAATAGTTCTCAACTGCTTTTTAGCAGGAGTCTTACCACAAATGAAATCGGAGCCACGGTGTGTCTCTCCTCCTGCCTCAACACAGATCACATTCACGGCCAGCAATCGAGCCCCATTAAAAAGTCATAACAGGATATTTGTCGAGGCATTTACTGCACTAATTATCACTAAACCCTCGGTTTATTCACATCTTTAAAAATAGACACGTGCAAATGTTCCTGTGCAACTCAACCGGTCATTATGAACCGACAACTGACATCATTCGGTGACTGAAAACAACTGGATTGAAGCTATCGACGTTACTTTCATCCGTGTGGTGGGGGTGGTTGGTGAAATATCCTTTGCAGGTACCATTGAGATTATATTGGGGACAGAGGTGGTGGTGGGGAAAGGAGAGAGAGAGATAAGAGAGAGAGGGAATTCCTTTGCTTCACAATGGCTAAAAACATAACTATCACAAAGCAAATCACTCCAAAGGTGAGAACAAGACCTGTTGAGGGTGTTCGTTGGACCGAGGTAAGCAAGCGAGGCAAGAGAGCGAGCGAGGCAAGAGAGCAGCACCATCTGCAAAGCAGCTGAATAGTTCACTCAGAAAGCCTCTTCCCTCGAGTTTCCCTCGTTCCCAGAGAAGGAGGTTTGGGAGCAGGCTGTCGTAGGTCTGAAGCTCCCTTTTTTTGTGTTTGCTTCCACAGGAAATTTCAGGCGTTCAAGAAACGCCTGCAAGAAAGCATTCAGCTTTGTAAACGATAAAGCACAGTATCTAAATGTGCTTGGATCGCACTTCGTTACAGGAAAACCGGACGACTTGAAGACGCTGCGCATTGTTTCTCTGAACGTGAGGGTAAACGCAAGTTTAAAAGAATCCCTGAAGTCTTTTTTTTTAAATTGGCCTGCTGCTTCCAGGGGCTGATAGGAGAATGTTGGAATCAGCACTGGAGAGTTACGAGTCACTAGACTCAAACAAGTCCTGACAAAATAAGTACTCCAGGCAATAAATTCAATGCAATGGAAGATTTAACACACACATCTGGCCCGAGCCCTGCACAGAATTTGTACTGTGAGGCCGGGCGAACCTGCAAAGCACAGGCTGCCAACACATGGTCTCAAAGCACAGCGAGGGAAAAATCAGCAAACACTGTGCTGCTAGCAAGCTGCAAGGTTCGCAGATTACAATCTTCATAGATTGGCTGCGACCGACGCAACCCTGTGATAATGACACTGCCAAGATTTTTTTTTGGGGTGGGGGGGGGCAGGGGAGCGGGGGTTTCTATAGAAAAAAAAAGGGCCAAATCGTCCCAGCGTGAAGCCAAATGAAATGTTCAGGGGATTTTAACGTTTGTCATAACGCAGAAAATTGACTTGTCAACAAATTGACTTCTTCTACCTCAATTTAAAGTCAATCTTGGTTCCCAACAAAGATTAGTGATGAATGGCGGTTTAGTTCGCAAGCAGTCCGATAAAATCGTATCAACCCCTCCCCACCCCCAAATAAAGAAAGGTCTGTCCTGGTTGAAGTCCGATGAGGCAGTACGTTAAATTGAGCAATGGTTAATGCAACACTTACAATCGCAGCAATTTAACATCACTAAAGACCTTTGATGGAGATTATTGACCTGGATGGCAATCTGTATTGGATACATCTATTCAAGATATCAGACCTTCAAGTCTCTTTCGCTGGGGATGGGCAGTGGGGGGGGAAAGAGTGTTAAGATGCAGGGGACATGACACTTTGGGAACAGTGCTATCTGCTGCTATCCTTTTAGTGCATCCAGTGCCAAATGAATCTCTAAGAACATAAGAATTTGCTGGCGATAGAAGACCAAGGTCCATCCATCTAGTTCACCTCTCACAATCCTGGCAGTCACTTGACATGTCGTGTCCCAAACTATTTACTGTATCCTCAGATATTACTTTCTTGCAGAAATCTATCTAATTTTTTCTTGAAGCATTGTCTGCTTCCACTGTCTCCCTCGGGAGCCTGTTCCATAAGTTTATTACTCGCTCACTGAAGCAGTGCTTCCGCAGATTTGTTCTGAACTTATCCCCCTTCAATCACAGGCCGTCGTGTCTGGTTCCTCTGTTCAGTGCCGGATAAAACAGCTTATCATGGACTATGACAGTCCGTCAGTTAGAAAGCGCGGGGTGGGTGGGTGGATGGGACTGAGCCTGAAGTAATTTGTGTTCAATCCACCGACACATCAGTCAATATTCACTGCTCTTGGAAAAAAATCAAGTGATTGAATGTTGCCATCACTGCGAGAGAGGGTTTCGTTACTACTTTCAAAGTTAAATATTTGGCAAATTCGTAGAGGTTTACAATGTGCAGCATCACAGCATAATATTGTTATAACATTATACTGGGGTTACATTTTCTGGGTAGCGGATTTCAGATTACTTGCTCCGCGGTTGTATCGTATTAGTTTCTGTTCGTTCGCACTTAAAACAAATACCCGATCAAGTATCACCACCGGAATAGGAAAACACAAAAGTACGTCATCCGTCCGGAAGAAGTCACTATCTTTCCTCCAAAAAAAAAAACCCCACTCGTTCCATTTGCGTACTTCGCACGCACTCGTGGCTTCAATATTTGTCAACAGCTCTGCAAGTGGGTTTAGAGCAGGGCATTATCTCGTGTTACCAGCCGGTGGGCAGGTCAGCAAGTGTTTCCATTAATAACCTGCAAGAATACCAGCACAGGGTCCCTGCAAAGGTCACTGGCAATCACTCCTCATGACCGCCAAGCAAGCTTTCAAAAATCCACGCTTCCGACACTTTAAAGGAAACTTTTGATTTTATTTAAAAATTGCGTGGTACGCACATCCCTTTGGAAAGTATAATAAAGTGTCCTTCTCGAATACTGAACGCAATCTGCTCGCAGGCCTGAGTCAGTGCCAGCTCTGCCCTCGCTGGCAGGAGGCATGCAAGGTCACCCCAGAGTCTACGTTTCTTTGCAAATAACTTGTGGATTTTTTTTTTGTGTGCTGTGAAAGCAGATTCTCTCACCAGCGGGGAGACTTGTACAATTCAGTCTATGTCGGCCTTCCTCAGTGGTACCGCCCCCCCCCCCCCCCCTGCGCCACTTTGGGAGTCAGAAGGTTGTGGGTTCAAGCTTGGAACTCATAATAGTTTATGCTGAAACTCCAATGCAGTGCTGGGGGTGGTACTGCATTGTCGGAGGTGACGTCCTTCAGAGGAGATGTTAAACTGTTCAGATGAACATTAAAGATCTCATGGCACGAAGGGGAACCGCTGAGGAAGGCCGACATAGACTGAATTGTACAAGCCTCCCCGCTGGTGAGAGAAGGGGTTTCCCCCGGTGTCCCTCGCTAACAATCCCCTCAATAAAATTGTTTATTCGCTTCACGGCTGGTTGTGGCACATTGCAGCGTGCAACTTTGCTGCCGTGTTTGCCCGCAGGACACACCCTCGCTGCACTTTACAGCGTATCCTGTGAAGTGCTTTGAAACGTCCTCCCAACGTGAAAGGTGCCATACAACTCTAAATTTGGATTGGATTTCACTGAATCCGATCAGTTATGGTACGAAAACGGAGGACCTTAGGCAGATATCGTGCGCTCGTCTCTGCTGGCGACAATCGCAGCATGAAAAGCAAGCCCTGCAGAAGGGGAAGCCAGGAGAGATAAATGTCATCTTTAATTAAATTCCATTCAGTGGGTCATTGGACTTTAGAATACAGCAAGAACAGACACTGTATTCCCTCCTGGATACTGAACGCTCATCAAGTTGTCAACAGGCATGTTTTATTCCCATCAGAAAGCAGCCTCTTTACTTCCGATCCCAAAAAAAAGTACAAAGAAAATACCAAAAAACACCTCCGGGCTGCGAACAGTCTGAGACATCGATCCAACCACCCTAACAAAGTGCATGCTGTACCCTTTAACACTTCCGCAGCGGTAACACTGGCTAACTTGACCGAACTGATCACCTCTCACCGTCGCACACAGCCTGCGATGGTGGTGCGAGGCTGCAAGTCGGCAGGAGTGTGCGACACAACTTAGCAGCCACTTGTATCCGAACTGTGAGCCAAGACGAGAGATTTGTGGGGGTGTGTGGTGTGGAAGGAGTTTTATTAGGGTCTAGTTCTGCAGTTAAACTCTCGCCTTTGCCTCTTTCCCCCGCTCGCCGGGAATGTCATTGCACTGAAATGTGGATGTGATTGACGGCACACGCTCAGCGCGGAGGAACACAAAGGATGGGCTACATGGAGCACTCAAGGGGAAACTGTCGAGACAGATTGCGAGCAGATGCTTACCTCTGTAGGTTCATTTTCAAGGAACCTGTGCAAGCTTTGATCTTGTTCTGTGCCTCCAGATGCGTCATTCCCTCAGTGCTGATTCCATCAATGGATTGAACTATATCTCCTACTACGATGCTCGCCGTTGCTGCTTTGCCGCCTTCAGACAACTGGGGAGGAAAAAAAAACACATCGGACTTAAAATTACTTAGCGTTAAAGTCAAAGCTGATGGATGCCGGAGCCAAAGCAAGTGGTTATCACACAAGTACTCCCCCCCCCCCCCCACCTTACAAGGTTGTTTGCGGCTCGTTGAAATTTCACAACATAATAAGAATAATAATCCTTGCATTGATACAGCGCCTTATCACGTCTTCGAGCGTCCTCAAAGCGCTTCACAAAATATACCGTAAAGTGAATCGACTGTATAATTTGTGGGCGAAACGCGACAGTCAATTGCGCACAGCAGCGTCCCACAAACAGTCGTGGATTGAGTACCAATATTATTATTATATCCGATTGCAGGCAAATAAAATGCAAACGCTTCCTCAGTTATGCTACTGAAAATGCGCGTCACTACTGAACACGACACAACAAAAGGTAAGAGAGAACGGTATCCAGTGTGATCTCCACAATATTGGTAACTCGCGGACAGAGTTTACGACTCTCTTGGCTTCAGCCCGACGATAACATGAAAGGTCGACCCCCATCCAAGTCGCTTCCTCGCGCAACATGGCATTTCTTCCGCAGTTAAGAAGAAATCTGGCAACAAATAATGGCATTGCCCAATTGTTACAAAAAAAGCCCTCCCCAAAAAGACACTGGAGCAGGAAAGTGCTGCCTTTCCTAAGTGAAAGCAGGCGAAAGATGCCAGAACACAGGGGTCAAAGCACGAGCGCTCTTAAGTTTCTGTAATACGCACAGGAGCAAACGTGTGTCCACTAAGGTGAGCAAATTACCGACCATTAAGAGCGTAACAGACAGCGCATCAAAACTGCTGGGTCAATTTGTCAGGAACTTGGTTCCTGTCCTCCACGTAGAGTTGAAAGGAATATTGCGCACCTTCCCTAGGATATACTTTGAATGCATCAGACAGAAGACTCAATTAGCTTTACAACTGCACCGGTGGGAATGATTCACAAGTCATGCTTGTAAAAGGCAAAGCCATAAACCTGCCTCGCCTTTAGTTCCCGGCAGGTTTGGTTCTGCTTAAGATATTCTGGAAGCTTTCACTCATGCAAGGAGATCGAACCACTGTATCATCTGTCAGTATTCCATCACGTCACAACGTGACACTAAAGCCAAGCAGACACTGCCTCATCGCCAAAGCAGATTTAAACACATTGTATAATAGTGACAAGATACCGACTTACTTATCGTTCAAAACGGGTTTCAGAAAAGTAAATTGTTTGTTCTCGTTTCCCAGCCATACCCGAGGACGAAAGATCTGAATCTCACAGAATCAGGTCAAAGTCAGACACGCAAAGGAGATGTTAGAAATATTTTGCTCCCAGAAGACCCGATTCCTTCTAATTAATAGGACGAAAGACTCGCAGACTGAATACCGCAAGCTGAAACTGTTAACAAAAATATTCAGTAGGGAATTTAAAAGATTTGTGACAGGTTACGGATAGAAAGGATTACATTCGATTTGCGAAAACAAGAATGTAAAACGATCAAAGCGGCAGAAAGGACTTGAAATGATTTCGACTACTGCGTGTAAAAAAGAAACAACTTGCCTCAGTTTAATCTTGGGAGGTTTGTGAAATTTATAGGCAAATGCCATCTACTGCACTGCATTTGATCACCTGAAAAGACCAACAATTGACCAGCCTGTAGTAAAATTAACTAACATAAATGAGCAATCGTTCAAAGGCAAAATGCTACAAGTGGGAAGGACAAATCCGAATCCAGGAAATGCCTTGGTCGATTATGATCAAGGCTCTGATCAAATATTTAGACGATTGCTTGGGAAAATGTTCACGATTTAAAAAAAAACCCTCCCACTTAATTTTACAACGTTCTCAAGCGCGTGGGCGAACGCTGACGGAACGCGGTGGGGCAAACGTGCGGTTATCGCGCAGATGAATGTAGAATGCGCACGTCTGTTTAGCCTCGGAAAAGGCTACCCCCTGAAGCCCTCACAAAGGCCCTCTCATCATCAAATAAACGAGCGCTCTGAGACGCCGTCCGGCATGGAGGGCGCTATATAAATCCAAGTTGTTGTTGTTGGAGTGCACAAAGTTCTGCTGTTGAACAGCTCAGTCTTCAGTCCTGCAGGAGCAAGGCAGGTTGAGGGCATTCAGATCAGACGCTCAAGGTGAATGCAACTGATTCACGCAGATAGCGACTTATTAAACTTGCGTGAATAATAATAACAATAATCCTTACATGGTCGGGGGGGTGGGGGTGGAGAATGGAGCAGGAGAGAGAAAAAGATTAGGAAGAAAGAGAAGAGGGCGAGAATGGGGGGGGCGAGAAAATGCCAACTTCTTTTTTTACTGAAGCCAATTCCAGATATGCACGTAACAAGCCAATAATTGCTTTTAAATAACATGAACTCCAATGGCTTTCAAACGTAGGGTCAAAGGCAAGTTTGCCATCAGCAGAAACTAAATGTCAACTGATCCTGACACCACCACATGGTAACTGAAGTCAGACGTACTGAATCACCTGATAAGTTTATGTGCAGTGGGGAAATGGGAGGGTTTGTGATGGTGGTTGCTTTACGTCTATGACGAGCCACTGAGCTGCAGGGCTCCATGGTCGCTTTAACCCGTGTCGTTTCACCGCACGCGTCTCTCAACAGCACCAATACCTCCGCGATGTTCCACAGAATTTATCAAGTCTCTCGGCAGTATTGTCAAACGCCCGCAATTCTTGCAAATTATTTCTGTTGGCCCAGGTAATCACCATCAAAAGTAGCAGCTATTTTTGGAGGCAAACACAAAAGGCAGACACTTTTACACACACACACACACACACACAGACACCAAGAAGTGAATCCCCAAATTTATCTGGGGAATTGTCAAGCCAGGACACCAGAAAAGACTCCCTTCTCAGTTTGAATAGTGTCGTGGGATCTTTAGCTTCCAGCTGAACAAGCAGACGTGGTTTAATATCCAAAGGACAATGCATCTGACATTGCAACCATCATCCAGTACGTCATTGGAGTGTCAGCTTCGACTGTGAATTCAAGTCCCTCTTTGGGACGACAACCTTCGGACCCAGATGTGAGACGAACGACTGAGCCAAGCTGACACACCACATTCCCGTAGCTTTGCTTTATATTCACCTTTTATATTAAAAAAAATTGTTGTGCTTTTTCTTACCAATACGATGCATGTAACTGCAGGTAATGATGGCGAAAGAGTGAAGGGAGACTAGAGGTACCCTTCAAAGTGCCATATCGTAGACACAGGAATGCAGTAAGTCGTATCAGTTGGGATCATGCATTTGATGTGACTTACGCAAAGTATGAGTTGTGTGAAACCTGCATAAGTTATAGAAAATTCAACGGGGCTTGGGCAGATGTATGTCTTAGATTATATGATTTATATAGATCAGACTTATGTGAGATTTACTATACATATATATATTATATATAGGTTGCATAAAAGCCTTTCTTAGTGAAATGTTCCAATTAAGCAAGTCAAACAGTTCAGGGAGACAAACAGTAGCTTTTTACCTCATTGACTAAGACAGGGGTAAAGTCATCAGTGGAGTGTACTTGGTTTCAGAGATCACCCTTTTAGTGTGAGGTTGCCATCACATTTTTCCTTCTTCACCTAAAAATACGCAGCCTTTCAACAACACAACATTACATGTGTATGGCACCTTTCACGTCGGGAGGAGGTCCCCAGGCCCTGGACAATCAGTGTTTCGGACCCGAGCTGCGGGTTGGGATCGGGGAGGGAAGGAGGGTGATCGAAGGCACGGTCGAAGAGAAGGGCCTTGAAGGAGGCAAGGGATTGGCGAGGTGGAGGGACTACGAGGTGGAGTTCCAGAGGGTGGGGGCAATGGTGGGGCAGGTGAAGTGGGGGACGTGAAGCAGGTCAGAGCCCGTTGAGCCAAAGGGAGCGGGCAGGTTGGTAGGGAGTTAGGAGGTCGCGGAGCTAGAGGGGAGCGAGGCCGTGAAACTTCCAGAAATAGTTAACATTTCGGGATTTCCCAAAGGTTACTTATTAAATATCAATCTCTAACCAATGCAGCCTCAAAACTATTGTGAAACCGGTCACCCTGTTAACTAACACAAAAAACATTCACGAAACTTTTTTTGCGAATGTTTTTTGCATCAGTTAACAGAGTGTCCATTTTCGCCGTGATTTGTTGCACATTTGGGAGGAATTAGCTCATAAAGCTCTGTTAAAATTGCTGTAGCACTTATCTTTGGAAGTTTCCCATCAGTAATTTGGAAATAGGTTAAGAGGCAGGTTTAATGGCCGGTAAAATTGACTGATCAGCAATGAAAACAGCCACCAGAGAGAGAGAGAAAGAGAGAGAGACTGAACTCTCAAAGCTTGAGGGTCAAACCAGAAACCAAACAAGCCTGTTAAAATCATTACTAACTGAGACACGCTGCAATTCTAACACGTTCAGCACACTGCAGTATCTCACACTCTAATTATAGTGTCAAAAGGAGGATGGGCACTTGCTTTGAGCCTACAAAACCTATCCAAATTAGCACCAGTGTAAACCAGATCCACTTCAGAAAAGGTCACGGATAGGAATCCACACACTAATTGCTAATAAACCTACAATGCGTATTCATTCTTCCCACGTCCCACAAACAGCCATTAAGTGACCACCCCCAAACCGCCCAAATCTATTCTCCTTTAGAAATGTTTATTGCTTAACTGCATTCAATACTGTACCCCACAGTTTCCAGACTCTTTCCCTATCTTTCCTTCCCCCCCTCTCTCTCTCTCTCTTTCCCCCACCCTCCTTATTTCTCTTCGTCAGGAAACACTTCACTGTCCACACAGTAATCTTGGGCTGAATGGTCACAGGTGCCATGCATCAAAAACAAACAGGTCTTAACTCAAACACTTGGTCAGAACTTCCTTACATTGGTAAAAAAAAACCCAGTCAAAACAGAAATTCCTCGGGCTGCTTTAAAAGATTCCCATTTCAACAGCAACAGCCCACAACATCACGCAGTACATTTTAACA